TAAAAAACATTATTTTATTACTATGTCATTTGTTATCTATATTTTGAAATTGAATTTAATGCAAACACTTCTATATCTCGATTTAAACATAAATGGACTAACGTTAATATCAATGTAAATTGTTGTTTAATTTATGTAATGTATGTAATATAATGTAATTTATTTTATTTCATTTTATTTTATATTATGGGATAAATCTAATAAAATACAGAATTTATATAAAAAAAAGTCTAGATATCAAAATTAGAAATAATTAAAGATAAATTAGACAATTTTTGATATAGATGATATAGACTGATTAATGTTTGTTAAATAAAAAGAAGAAAAAGAAGAAGAAGAAAAATCAAATTGAAATTTATCTCATTGTCAAATATAATAATATAAATGATATTACTTTAGATATATCAATATAAAATAAAACCATACATACATATATATAAATATAATACTTTAATAAATATATTTAATTTTCTTGATACTTTGTGATTTACACATTGATAAAATATGATTACAATTTTCATGGGTGAACGTGAAAGTATTAGAAAAATAAAAAAAAAAAAAAGATAAACAATATATTATAAGAATGAAACAAGTGTGAGAAATGAAAGATGGGGTGGTGTCGGATGGATGGATACTATCAAATGTCCCCGTCATATTTTATGGCTAGCAACAAAATTCCCTGTAATGTTGGTTCCCATGTAAAGGGGGAAAAAAAAAAAGGAACCAAGAGGGAGAACTAATAATGTCGGAATTTTAGCGAACCTAGTCTTTATTATCAGATACTACTACCCTCCATTTCTTTGAACAATCATAATAATAATAATAATATATATAATATAAACCGGAAGTGTACGTCTTGAGTATCTTGAAAAAAAGTCTAAACGTTTTTCTTTAACTTATGGGGAAAAAAATACTTTTATTAAAAAGGGGAAGGATGTTATCTCATTTTTTTTTCTCTCTCTATTCATTTCAACCCCCCGTTTCCTCCTCTTTCTCTTCCCCAACCCTCCCATTTCCGTTCTTTTTTTTGTATTATTTTTTGCTCTCGTTTTCTTTCTTTTTTTCTGTCTGTTACTCGATGGAACAAAAATGATACGAAATTACTCCTGGACAGAATTATAATCCCCCTACCACCTCCCCCCCCCTCTCTCTCCCTTCCCTGCCCACTTCTCATCCACCATCACAGTTTGTAAAAGTCGTCCAATCCGTTTTGAATTTTATTTTGACCGAGGTGGGATAACTCGTTGGAAGATTGAAACGAATTAATGGGATAAATTATTCCATAACTTGGTTTCACCAAAAACCATAATGCTGTGTTGCTGTTGCTTTTGCTGATGATGATGATAGTATTGTTAGTAGTAGTGAATAGTTGATAGTTGATAGTATAGTGGTGCTGGTGTATAGTGGTTTTAGCGATCGTCACGGTATTATGATAATCACGATGTGATATTCGTACGGATGATAACGTAATATAAATTTCCTAGTTCTATTCGTCGTGTTTAACGTTTGCGAGAGTTAGATTCTATCTGTCCGACAAATGGTCCGATTAATCGTGATAAACATTGCGGTAAATTGCGACCGGCTGATTTTCCAAAGATTTTAATGGATACTTGTTTTGTTTTCTTCTTAAAAAGAAATAAGGAATAGGAAAAAATAAAGAGAGAGAAAGAGAATATTAATTTATGCTTAGGAACTTTTTGCATTTCGAATTATATTTCAATTTTGTTAGTTTAATGATTTTTGAAATCATTTGTTTTTCTTTTATAATTTTTAAAATTTAATTTACAAATAAAAATTCAGACAATTGAAATAAGTGTATATTAGGAAATTAATAATAAAGATTAATTAATAAGTGAATATATTATAATGATAATTTAAATAAATGTAAATTTAATTAAATATTCGTTTTATTTATACTATTTATACTATTTTCAACTGTGTATGATATTTTTTTTTGAGATAAAAAAAGAAGTTTTTGTTAAGGGTTTCAAAATTATAACGAGCTAATACTTAACGAAGTTTAAATGTTTTGTGTTTTGAATATTAATAAAAAGAAAAATGTGTATATCTACCCAATGAAAAAAAAGATGCTGAACTGTGAAGAATTAAGTTGCTGAATAAGTCCGAATAAAGGGACGAAACGTCTAACTTAGTTAAATTAAGTTCCACTTCGGTTTTTTTATGTCCAAGTTACTTCCCTGTGATACCTTATCATTAAAAAAAGAATATTTTTTTTTGAGTGCCAACAAAAGGATTAAACGAATTTAATGTAACTTTTTATATAATATTTTATGATTTTAGTTAGAAAACGTTTTGATAAATATTGATCGACCGAATAAAAGAAAGAAAGAGAAAGAGAAGGGATGAAATTAAATGTTCCCAGAGATCATTGAACCTTGCCAAAAGTATTTTAGTTACCAAATGAGATTTTACCAAAGCTTCGACGATATCATTCTTTCTTTCTTTCTTTTTATTATAATATTATTTTCTTTTTCTTTGTTCTCTCTCTCTCTCTCTCTCTCTCTCTCTCTCTCTCTCTCTCTCTTTCTCTATTATTTTCGTAACGTAGAATATAAACGGTATAAATGATTTCAACGAAAACCTGGTAAAAGGTATCTACGGGAAGTGAACGAATTATTTCGAACATGTATTAGACTGATTTACGAAACGTGTAAAAGCACAAAAACCATGAGATTAGAGAGAATTATTTAAATAAAGTAGTGTTATTTCACTAAAACGCGTTAACGAGAATTCAACGTTAATGAATAACGCATTCTTCATTGTCCTAAATATTTTCTCACACACACATATATTTATATAATAAAATTATATGCACTTACATATATATATATATATACCTTATGATTTAATTAACAAACAACCCCATTTTCTTAAAGGAAACCGAAATGAATTCATTCGAATGATTAGCCCGTAATCGTTTTACTTTTGTTTTTTTAAACAATCGTTCAAATCAAAGTTACTAAAGTTTGATCAAACGATATACTACTCCTTTTATGAAAACAATGTTAATGTTCGTTCGCATATTCGCCGCAAACTACGCGTTGAGGTATTATTTTCATTAACACGTACAGAAACCCACTTGCTTTTTGACCCCCCGTAACTCACCCCCAAACCCCACCTCATCTCACCTTTACCACCATTTACCACGTGCCTCGCGTCGTTGGCTTTACCGTTCTTGTAAATTACACGGAACAACACGAGGACCAAGTTACGTTTAGATTGCAACCCTTTACCATCCCCCTACTACTACCACCCACCGCCCACTCCCCCCCCCCAACTCAGTTTCCACCGCATCGAACCGTTGAAATTTCATCGAGAACGATTTTCCTTTTCCGTTATTTCGTTTGCTTTACCTGAGTTTACTTCCAACTCTCTCTTTCTCTTTCTCACACTTTTATCTTATTTCTATTTCTTTTTCTTTATTTCTTGTTCTTTTTCTTAGCGGTGGTTTCTCGATTACTTCCCTTTCCCGATTTCCAATAGAATTCGATTATTTATTCCTGGAGGTACACGTAGCAGGATACGGCATCGTAAACTTTTGCTTGGATAAACGTATCGGTCTGTGGTTATTTGTCAGAGATCGTATATATATATATAGAAAAACCTTACTATCACACACTTATCCATTTCTAACCCTTTTCTTTTTCTATCTGTCACTGTCTTTCATTTACATTAAATTTTTGTACTTCTGCGTGTGTGTGTACAGAATTTTTTCTTTTTTTCCCTCCTCCCATAAAAAAGAATCATATATGAACAGATATGGGTCTACATGATGTATATATGATCATACATGCTGTGTATATGTATAGCTGGACATCTATGAACATAAAAATTATAGAGTTACGAAAGAGACAAAATATATTTTTAATAAATGTTTGATATAATTATATAATATTAATTAT